ACATGCCGGGTGGCGGGTTCGATGCCCTGTAGGAGAGGCAGCAGCTGATGGATGTTTCTCTCTCTCGCATCAATGTTTCTCTTTCTCTCCCCGCTCCCTTCCTCTCTCTCTAAAACCAATAAAAACATATTTAAAACAAATTGATGTTTCTCTCTCTCTTCTTCCCCCCATTCTCTCTCCCTTCCTTCCTCTCTTTCTAAAATTGATAAATAAAAAAATTTTAAAAAAAGTAAAAGGATTGTCCCTGACATTAACTAACCCAGCCACAGACAGAGTTCAATTGGACCTTGACCACCTGCTCAGGTAAAAATATTCTGAGGGACTCACAGGGCGGCATTCTCCCCTCCCAGGTCTCCCCTCCCCGTCCTCTCTTGTGCAGTCCTCTCCCACCCACCTACCTGGCCCTAACCTCAAGGTGAGAAAGTTCTCCCCTCCCTCCCTCCTACTCCACCCCTTCCCCTTGTCCCTGTAGATCCCCGCTCCCCTAGGAGGAGGGTGGGAATCTATGTCCATTCTTGTCTTCTCAGCACTTTACTCTGCTTCCCTGGTCAACACTCCCAGACCCTGCTCTTGGCCTTGCCTCCTACTGCCAGGGCCCCACCTGCCCCCAGGACATTCTCCCAGTGCTTACTGCCTTGGAAATCCAGGCCACCCTCCCTCCTTCCCTTCCTTCTTTTTTTAATTTAAAAAGAAATCTGTATCGACTGATATTTTTAATTATAAAGTTAATGTTTGTCATAAAAATGTCTCAAGAGTATAAAAATATAAAGCTCTGACACATTTCTGACTGGTCTCACCTTCCCGGAGATACATTCACCTTCTCTGCACGGACGGTTTAGGCTCTTGGGATCCACGTGGTATCTCACCGATGCTGCACTTTCCTCTCTAAATTAGAGCTCCTAACTGAAAACAAGAGAAACCGACCCCAGCTAGTTTAGGCTGAAAAAGAATTTATTAAAAAAATTCTGGCCCTGGCCAGGGAGGTCAGGTGGTTGGAGCATCGTCGCATACACCGAAAGGTTTCGGGTTCAATCCCCTGTCAGGGAGTATACAGGAGGCAGCTGATTGATGTTTCTCTCTCAAAAATCAATCAATCAATCAATAAAAACATATCCTCAGGTGAGGATTTACAAAAAGAATTCTGTAGCTCACAGCACCTCCAGGAGGGCCAGAGAACTGGCCAGGAACCATGTCCCAAGGTTATAGCCAAGAGGGCCTAACTGGCCTAGTGGAGGCACCTCTGAGCACAAACGCCCGACTGGAGCTGGGGATCAAGCCTGCAACTGAGGCACATGCCCTTGGCCGGAATCGAACCCTGGACTCTACAGTCCACAGGCTGAGGCTCTAACCACTGAGCCAAACCAGCCAGGGCACTTCTTAAGATCTCAGGAATCTAAGACTTTTAACAAGTCCTTCTTATGATCCTGCAAATCAGGAAATGCTCCTCTAGATGGCTGTTTGTTTCCTTAGGGTGGACTTAGATCACCCTGGGCCTGTAGTGATGGGCTGCTCTCGGTAGAGGTCAGTACCTGAGATCTGAAAAATGTGGAGGCTCACTTTGTTCTTTGGAAGGGCAATAACACAGGCAGTCATATGCTGCCAGACAGTGAGGCACTGAAACCTTAAAAAGGTATTTCCAGAAACTCTCCTAGAAATTCATCCCAAGGGAATAGCTATGGTTGTGCTCTAAGCAATCCTGTGCCAACGATGCAGAAAAAAAGATGCTCCAAGCTGCCTGTGCAGTTAGCAAGAAGCAGTCCTGTAGGACACAAAGCCGAGGCAGGCCTCCTTCTCTTCCCTTCTTCCTGATCTGTCCAGGCCAGTGACCCCACGGAGGTCACATGGATTCCATCCTGCCTGGGGCCCCATGGCTCACCCACGTCCTGGCATTTGCCTATGCAAAGCGCTGAACGGAGGGCGATGTGGCCAAGGTGAAGGCCGTATGCACCGGGAAACCCATTAAGTTTGCTGTTTGCAGTGGGGTGGTACAGAAAGCCTCCTGCTGACTTTGACTTGCTGACCCTGGTCCCATAGGAGGCTTCCTTGGGCGAGGTTAGTTGCTCCCTGCCTTATGGTCCAAATGTGGAACAAAGGTTATCTGGGGACTGGAGGTCAGGAGGAGACCCCGTGACTCCAAGCCTGGACTGTTCCTGTTCTCGTTTTCTGTTTTTTCCCACTGCACCAAATGGGCTCCCTGTTAAGCCACCCCAATGACTCTTCATGTCTTCTTAAGTGTCCTTTTGCCTGCAGGTGCCAGGAACCATCTGGTCTTTCTCCCTGAAGGCTGTGGCCAATGTCAACCCTGGTGCTCTCTCCCCAGTGCTCCCAGCACCGTGGCCTCCAAAGATGCAAGGACAGGGCCTTCATTTCTCCTTTGTGCCAACAGGCAGGACCTCACCAAAATAATAAAGACAGGGAAGTTACAGTGCCATAGAAATGTCTTACATTCATGACCCTGGTTTGTGTTTTCCCCTTCCTTGGTTTAAACAGAATTAGACATGAGGCTCTGCCCTTCTTTTTAGCCCCACACTTCTCGGAAGTCAAAATTCCCAAACTCACTCAGGTAACAGAGCACCTGGAAGCTGTGGGCTCCTCAAGGGTGCCTGTGAGTACCGATATGTGTCAGTCCATCACAGGAAAGCTGGGTCAGGACCCAATCCTCGATGAGGTACAGGATGGCTCAGTTGTTTGTCCACAGGCTCTGGGCTGGAAGAACACTGGGTTGAATCCCATCTTCAACACTTACTAATTGCATCACCTTGGGAAAGTCACTCAACTTCTCAGTCTCTCAGTGCCATGGACTGAATTGTGTCCCCACAAAATTCATATGTTGGAGCCCTAACCCCCAATGTGACTGCATTTGGGGATAGAATCTTAAGGGAGTAATTAAGGTTAAGTGAGGTGATAAAGATGAGGCGCTGATTCAATAGGACTGCTTTCCTTATAAGAGGAAGTGACACCAGAGATGTGTCTCATGCACGCACAGAGGAAAGGCCACATGAGGACACGGCAAGAAGTTGTCTGCAAGCCAGGAAGAGAGCTCTCGCCAGAAAACAACCCTGATGACACCTTGATCTTGGACTTCTAGCTTCCAGAACAGGAAATAAATTTCTTGGTCTATGATATTCTGTGATGGCCATCTGAGCTGACTCATACACTCAGTTTCTCATCTGAAAAGCAGGGATAAAACTAGTCCTCACATCGTGAAGCTATTGTGAGAATCTGTTGAGGAACTACACATGTAATGCCTGCCTGTTTAGTTTTCCTACAGCATCTTCAGCACCTGGAACAGTGCCTGGCGTGTAGTGGATATTCAATAAATACCTACTGAACGAACAAATCCATCCATCAGAAAAAGAAGTCAAGTTAAATATGAATGTGTATCTCTGAGCTTTTCACTAACCTCCATTTCCTTGATCACTGATCACAACTCACTAGCAAATGACAGCAGGTATAAAGAGTTTAAGAAAAGTGTCAGCAAGGACAGTTTCCTGTTATTAATTGGATCTGCCCATTAGTGTCATGTTTTCTGTGAATTCGGAAAGGGCTTGGTCAGGCTGATCCCAGGCGGGTCTGAGCCTCTAGGAGGAGAGGAAATTGGTCAGAGATCTGTAGGAAGCCTTTGAACCCTTGTCTAACTTTGCAGGCCTGGGTGTGGAGGAGAGAGCTCTCTCTCTCTATCTTAAGCTTCTCAAACACTTTTGGAGGGGAGAGCTCTCCCTCCTATGGGGCAGAGAGGGGCTGGAGATCACAACTGTGGGAGGTCGTGTGTGTGGGGGCTGGGGCTGGGCCCTGGGAGTGGCATGGGTGAGTTGGTCTGGGGTCGGAAGCCACAGCAGGCCCACCCACCAGGTGCTTGTGAGATGCAAATGATGGGAACAATAGGGCCCCTGTCCCCAGGACATTTGTGGCAGAGGCTAGGTTTCAGAGAAGCATAGCTCCTTCGCTTTGGCCATGGTGAGACTTGGTTGGGGGCAGCCCAGGTGCACATACCAGCCCGCCCCTGGGGGCACAGGACTCTGGGCAAGGAGAGGCATCCAGCTGCACTTAGCACCCCCTTATTCCCCTCCCTGACTCTTTCCAGGACAAGCTCAGGGGGAGCAAGCGCCGGTGAGTACTCAGCTCCTTGCTTTCCTTCTGCCCTCCTCTCTTGTCTACACCTCGCCACCCCTCTCCTGGGCACAGCCGTCCTTGGAACTGTGCTGGCTATGTTTGGGCCCTCCCCTCCACCCAGCGAGACCATTCCTGTCCCTCCACCACTCCGTGAGCACTAGGGCTCACCCACTACCGGCTTCCCTTGGGCACCAACTCATCCAGCTGTGTACCCAAGGGCACTAGCTCTGGCCCCAGACTCTAACTCCTGTGCCCTATCCCAGGCTACTGTCACAACTCCATGGGGCTCCCTTCACACTGTCACAGATGTGAATGTCCTGGAGTTGCGCAGTGTCTGAATGACAAAAACTCAAGGGCCCCTTGGGCAGAGTTGACTATAGTCTGATTACAGGTCAGGGCCACCCCTTCCACCCCCCAAATATGTAGGTAAGTAACACAGTGGGCAAGAGGGTCCAGCAGAACAGGGTCCCTTGCAATCTGAGTCTCCACTGAGTGGCCTCTTCTCCACCTGTGCCCATCATAGCCCAGCACTGCTAAGGCACTGGGGCCTGGCCTTCCAGCTGCCCTGGTCGGAATTAGGAGTGCATGGGGTGGGGGACTGGCAGAGGTGCAACAGGCAGCTGTCTGGGAGGCGCCCTTGTTTCCAAAATGCCTGTGTCATCGGCCCTGCTGCAGTGTGGGAAAGGCCCGTCATGAATGGTTCCTTTGAGCTGAATGAAGCACTGAGGCCCACTGTAGCACTGCAGATGGCTGATTATATTGGGGAGAGAGAGTAAGTCATTGTGCTAGAAAGGGGGTGGGCTGGGGGGGGGTGAGGCAGTCTCATCAGTCTCCTGTGCAGACTCTCCAGTTGGGAGAACAGATGTGCGCCCCCCACCTCCTCTGCCTGCCCCAGGGACCTGGAGACACACGGTAAGTCCAGTGACTGAGCCTGGGGTTGGGAGTGGGGGGGGGCAGGGGCCACCACCCCTCCCTGTGCTCAGCGCCCCTTCCCAAAGGCCCAGGAGGAGGAGGAAGAGGAGGATGCCTATGAGCTGCCCCCCTGTGAGGCGCTGCCCGTGAATCTAGCCCCCGCCCGCCTTCCTGGCACCCAGGAGGACTCTTTGTACCTGGGTAAGGGCTGGGAAGTGAGGCAGAAAGTTTGGGTGGTCGGGCAGGGCAGGAGGGTACCCACAAGGGAAGAAGGTGCAGGCCTGGCCTCCTCCATCTGTGCTGGGCAGTGAGGGGAGGGAGAGGGAGAAGGAGAGAGAGAGGGAGAGAGAGGGAGGGAGAGAGAGAGGGAGAGAGAGAGGGAGATGGAGAAAAGGAGGGAGGGAGGAAGGGAGGAAGGGAAAAGGAAAAGGAAGGCGGGAGCTGAGAAAGGGAGAGGAGTGTGGAGGGGCAGTGTAACCAAGGCAACAGTGGGAAAGCAGGAGGCCTGAGGGCTGACTTGGTCCCTGGGGCCTGTCCTTCCCACCCTGAGAGCCCAGACTCAGAGTAAGGATAGGGGTGCCAGGAGAGCCCCCTGCCATCCCGCCCCCACGGCTCTCCAGGCAGGACCACATGGGGGCAGGGAAGCTGGCCACCTTCAGTTGCCATGGAGACGGGGCTGTCGGGAAATCATGAGCTGGTAGGGCAGGGAGGGAGGGAGGTGGATATAGAGGCTAGGTGGGGGCGGGAGGAAAATGGGAACCTACATGGGAGGAAACTAGCGACTCCTAATGTTTGGGGTCTTTTCCAGATTGCTCTGGCCCCCTGGGCCCATCCAAGTCATCGCCACAGCAGCCCCAGCCCATGATGGTTGGTGAACAGCCTCCCCACAAGTCCCTCCTTCCCCACCGGCCCCAGCCCAGGCTACCATTTCCCAGTGATTAAATCTAAGAGGCACCTCATTTGCAAGATTCCCCCATATCTGCACTCTAGAGGCTCCTGGGGTTAGATGCATCAGAAGCCTGAGCCCTGTGTACAGTCGCTTCTCCCACCAGCCTGGCCTGGTCCTTTCACCCTCTGGGTCAGCACCATCCAGGACTCACCCCTCTCACCAGAGCTGGGGGAGCTGGGCGGAGGGAGACAAAACCGACTCTGTCACCCCTCCCTGGACCCCCCCCGTCCCTACCAGGAGAGTGAAGAAACTCGCCACTCAGCGGCCAGTCACTGCAGCTCTCATTGCTGCCAAGACCCTGCTGTGGGCTTTGAAAGCTACTGCTTTCAGCATATACTTTATTGGAATATAAAGAAAAACAAGGAGAGATTCACAACAAAGAAGAGCCACAAAACTGAGGCAAAGGGAAGAGTTGCCCCCTCTGTACATTAACTCCCATGTGGCAGGGTTTTTTTGAAAGCTGCGTGGATTATACGTTGCCCTAGCATCCTTACCCTCCCCAGCTCCACCCCACACAATTCTCCCTCACCACTCATTGTGTCCACAGCTGATGGCAGCACTGAGCCTGCAGGAGGCCATGGAGCAGGGACAGTCCTTTGGGGGGGAAGGTAATGGGGACGTTCTCTCTCTTTCCAGGGCCCACGCACTCCCTTGCCCTGAGAAGGGACATCCACCCCACAGGGCTAGAGCTGAGCTGCCTTACGGTGGTCTCATGCTGGTCACTGCACTCCCCCAGCTGTCCCTCATTTCCACCTGCTGATCCCACTAAGGTGGGCAGTTGAGTAGACTGAGGCCCCAGTCACAAAATGCTTTGCTGGGATCACACAGAGGCAGAGCCTGCGGTGCTCTCAGGGTCAGAGGAGGGGCCCCACGTTGAGAGGTCTGAAAGGCGGCTGCTCTGCCAGGAGGACCCTCACTATGGAGACATATGAATGTCATCCCCCATCAAAGGGCCCTTTGGCCACCAGTCTGATTCCACTGATGTCATTATTGCCACCACTGTCCAGAGACTTTTCTCTAAGTAAATGTCTGCAGGCCTGTGACCCCAGACCCTGGATGTCACACCAGGGAGGGACCTCTGCCAGCACGCTTTTGTCTTTAAAGTGGCCCCTGGAAGAGCAGCCTCCTCCTGCCCAAGGTCATACAGCTACCCTGAGGCACATTTCTTTTTACACGCTCAAAATCTCCATGACCTTGAGGGGGTTTGATATTTGGTACAGCCCAGTCATTTGGGGCCAAGCCTGGCATATCAACTGAAAGGTCAAGTCAGGCAACAGCCTAGGGCTGTGACGAGAGGTGCTGTGGTGAGGGTGGCTTTGCCTTGGGTCTTCTATGCTGGCTCTGAGGACACCCTCAGATAAGTTCCAAGGATATTCCACTCTTCCAGCCAAGGTTTCACTCAATTCCTTTCTCCCTACGCTGTGACTGACAGTCCTCTCCTTTCCCTCCCAGAGCAGAGTGTGCCAGCCCGAGTGGTGAGCAGCCCCTCAATCCCCCCTCACACTCTAGGGTTCTCGCTAGGAAGTTGGTAGGTTGGGGTGCGGTGCCTGGGAGGGCCAGGAAATGTCCCTGAAACCGAGGAAGAAGGCCCAGAGCTGAGTCCCTCCCTGTCTGCCACAGGCCCCTGGCGGGGTATAAGTCAGTCATCCTGAGGGTGCTACCCAGAGCTCCTGGGGAGGGCCTTGCCCACAGTTCCTCCTGGTCACCCACATTCTCTGACAGCTGGGCCTGTGGGCACCTCTGAAGTGGAAGGTGCTCATGGGGTGCCTGCTTCCAGGCAAAGGCGCAGTTTTAATCATTCCAGCTGCCTCCCAGAAAGAGGTTCACCTTGTGAGGGGGACTGAAGTGTCAATAGCCCTCCCCTCCCCAGTGATGCCCCCCTCTCACTCATTCGTCACATCCTTGGTCCCACACACCCCTCTCTATCTTAGGTGCCAGACTCTGCAAAGCAAGCAGGTGAGGACATCTACCTGGAGTGTGAGCCCAGTGCAGGTGAACACCTCTCTCAGTGTGCCCAGATCCATCCGCCCTGAGGCTCTCACTCTGCTACAGGCTGCATGAAGCATTCTTCTGACTCCATTTTCTTCCCTTGTCTTTTCTCACCACCCCACCAACACCCATTTGCTTTCAGACACGCACGCTTCCACCTTTGGTCCAGGTTGACCCCCACTGTGGCTACAAGGGAGGGGACCCCACAGAGCAAGGGCTGTGTGTGGGGCTTCCCAGCTGTTGCAGCCTGGCTGGAAGGATTCCCAGAAAGCCCGGGCTGCAGAGAAGCAGCAGGCCCCGTAGTTGTCCTCGGCCCCTCCCTGGCCTGCCTGGCTTTCCTTGCCTGTTCCCAGCCCGGCCGGGCCTGCCTTCTGTTTTAGTCCCTGCCTTGCCTCGGACCCTGAGCTCCCAAGTCCTGAAGCCCCCAGTCCCTCTGCCACGGACATCAGTAGTGCGCAGGTGAGTGCCCTCCAGGGTGTGTGTATGTGTACACACGTGCGTGCGTGCATGCGTGTGTGTGTGTGTGTGTGTGTGTGTGAGAGAGAGAGAGAGAGAGAGAGAGAGAGATGCACTCACTCAGGCTTCCCCAGTCCTGACCCTGGAATCTCTGTGTTCCCTGGGCCTTTCTTTTTGAAGGAACTAAAGACCCTGAGCTGTGTTCCCCAACTTTCTCCCCACAGGCCCACCACAGCCTCCCAGGAAGCTTGGAATGTAAGGGGCTGGTGGTCAGGGGGGGAG